AATTTGAAATACAGTAAAACCTGTGAAGACAACCACTCGGATAAGGCAACAACCTGTCCTAGAAGACCACCAGTGAAATCAGCACCAAGGGATGCTATTTCCAGTCAAATGACCCTGGATAAGGAGACCACCTGGTAACAGAGACCACATTCTGAAGGTCCCTTGAGCGGTCGTCTTGGACAGGTTTCACTGCGTTTCAAAAACACCATGCGTCTATATTTTTGAAATGGAATGTTGTACACTGCCCATTGAACACAATGGTATGGATATCAGTGACAGACATGCAGTCGCCATTACGCCTGTCCTCCACGGCTGCTTAGCATTCATGGAAAGTAGTTAGGTGGTCATACATGCGTGTGTGCAGTGTGTGCACGTGCCCGTGCACATATACATGCACATGCACATACACACACACATACATAAACACACATACATAAACACACACGCACGCGCACACACACACACACACACACACACACACACACACACACACACAAACACACACAAGCACACGTATACACACACACACACACACACACATGTACACACACATGTACACACACGTACACACATATACACACACACACACACACATACACACACACACACACACACACACACACACAAGCACACGTCTTTGCAATCACCCGTACATCAATACTTCCGCTGACGGCCTTAGTTGGAAAGATCTTCTCTACTGAAGGGTCATCCAGCATACCAGTAGCACTACAACACAGAAATAACACGGTCAAACACACAACAGCAATAAGGGACAAGACACGCGGTGGAGAACAGGCCGGTCGATCGCAGTTTCTGATTCCGGGCCCCGTCAGACCGTAGCTTTTCATACAGTTTGTGTGTTCTATAAATATAAACAATTTCGCAAAATTTCGGCATTTCACGATTTTCGACATTTTGGCAGCAACTTACTTTCGGCACGGGGTTAAAATACTAACGTTAGTACGTCACCAAAGTCGATGTCAACATTTTCATCGGCGTTCTAATTTCGGCGTTTTCGGTCAGTGCCGAATATACCCGAAATGAAATGGCTGGCGAACTTTTCAATTTATTGCATTCCCAACTCGTTACAACCACGCGCTCTCAGCCGAACCATAAAGACACCAGCAAGGACACTTCCGTTGAGAGATAATATTTTCCAAGCCTCTAGACAGCTGTTTCGCTCCCTGCCGGAGCTCATCAGTAGATGAGCCGCGCCAAGCTAAAAAGTGGCTTCGTGTTTTGCCAACAAATCGAGAAAATCACCAAAACGTCACAGTTGGCAAAATTCTACTCGAGCGCGATCGCGAAAATATTCACTTTCCAGTTTGCAAGCGGATGAAGAGAGAAGCCTTTTTTATGTTTGAGCAACACTTCTTCAGTGTTCCCTCTTTCATCGTTGTGGGGATTCCTCAGTGCTGCCAGGGATCGTACTGGAGCTTCTAGAGACTGTGGAGGTGAGCAGGATGACATTCTGTATCCGTGCGAGCCAAAATCTACTTGACGAGGAAGAGTCGCTCATTCATAGTGGCTGTGTTTCTTATCGTGGCCACGACTAGAGTGGCGAGTGTAGCTATGGGGATACGTCTACAAGCCTTCTGACTATCATTCTGACAAGCGACCTGGTGAGTTGGCTCTTGCTGCGATGTTTCACTTTGTTTCGGCTACCTTCAATTTAGTGTTCATGACGTGGCGTACTGGATTCCAAAATTTCCTCGTTTCAAGGAAATAGTGCCACACGACGAAGCGATGCATTGACTCTACCTGCTAGCATATTGTTCCGTGGCGCCTTCTACCAGTATCCTTGGCAGGGAAGGAGAATGACATGGACTAGGACGGACAAAGAATCAGTGCCGCTTGTTAGCGATGTGCAGTCTACTGGACCTATGCAGGTGCGAGGGCAGTACACCAATGGAGCTAGATCTCTGGCACAGCACTACGAGCTAAATGAAAGGATTAATTCATCCTGGCATAGGTGATTGGAGAGAGTATGACGGACTGTCTTGGTAAGATGCGACGTTCCCCAACGCAGCGAAACATCTAGTCACAACAACATCATGTTGAATGATATGAAAATTCGTATTGCATCATAAAATGACATGAGTCATGATGAAAATTTAATGTAGATCTGTTATTTCTTCTTTCTTGGATCTTCTCATTAGAACACAAGTGCCCATTCTTCTTTTATTGCTTGCACACCTGCTAAGCTTTGTCTCTACTTGGTGTCCCATGTTTTTCTTGGAGTTTGGGAAGGTCTTGGAATCCTAAGTGGCACTGATACCAGCCATTCTGTGACATGTGCACAATGTATGCTTATTTATGGCACATATACATTTCAGATTGGCACCAAAATTTCCATAATGGAAGTTGGATATATAGACATCACTTTGGCATGAAAAAAGAAATTTCCAAAAATTATGCCTAAGCCACCTTTTAGCTTGGCTCGGCTCAGATTATGTTAGTTGTGCAAACATTTTTATCAACCACCAAACCACACCGCTGCGCTCTCCGGCCGATCTCAACACGTTGCCACAGCACACCATCAGCAAAATACTTACCCCTCTTGTGCCAAAATTTAGTATGTTTAAAGTATGATGTAGTGGGTGCACAGGACCACCTCCGCAGTAACCATGCGTTGGTGGTCAGCTATTTGGTCCGGTGAGGACTTGCCCGGCTGCACCGGTTCGGGCGGGCCCCGGATCCGTTTTGGAACACTGCATCCAGTACTGTACGTCATTCGTTATCTGCCCTGCACTCCGTCGTTATTTATCTGCCCTGCACTCCGTCGTTCTTTATCTGCCCTGCACTCCGTCGTTCTTTATCTGCCCTGCACTCCGTCGTTCTTTATCTGCCCTGCACTCCGTCGTTCTTTATCTGCCCTGCACTCCGTCGTCTTTATCTGCCCTGCACTCCGTCGTTCTTTATCTGCCCTGCACTCCGTCGTTCTTTATCTGCCCTGCACTCCGTCGTCTTTATCTGCCCTGCACTCCGTCGTTATTTATCTGCCCTGCACTCCGTCGTCTTTATCTGCCCTACACTCCGTCGTCTTTATCTGCCCTGCACTCCGTCGTCTTTATCTGCCCTGCACTCCGTCGTCTTTATCTGCCCTCCACTCCGTCGTCTTTATCTGCCCTGCACTCCGTCGTCTTTATCTGCCCTCCACTCCGTCGTCTTTATCTGCCCTGCACTCCGTCGTCTTTATCTGCCCTGCACTCCGTCGTCTTTATCTGCCCTGCACTCCGTCGTCTTTATCTGCCCTGCACTCCGTCGTTCTTTATCTGCCCTGCACTCCGTCGTTATTTATCTGCCCTGCACTCCGTCGTTCTTTATCTGCCCTGCACTCCGTCGTTCTTTATCTGCCCTGCACTCCGTCGTTCTTTATCTGCCCTGCACTCCGTCGTTCTTTATCTGCCCTGCACTCCGTCGTTCTTTATCTGCCCTGCACTCCGTCGTCTTTATCTGCCCTGCACTCCGTCGTTCTTTATCTGCCCTGCACTCCGTCGTTCTTTATCTGCCCTGCACTCCGTCGTCTTTATCTGCCCTGCACTCCGTCGTTATTTATCTGCCCTGCACTCCGTCGTCTTTATCTGCCCTGCACTCCGTCGTCTTTATCTGCCCTACACTCCGTCGTCTTTATCTGCCCTACACTCCGTCGTCTTTATCTGCCCTGCACTCCGTCGTCTTTATCTGCCCTACACTCCGTCGTCTTTATCTGCCCTGCACTCCGTCGTCTTTATCTGCCCTACACTCCGTCGTCTTTATCTGCCCTGCACTCCGTCGTCTTTATCTGCCCTGCACTCCGTCGTCTTTATCTGCCCTGCACTCCGTCGTCTTTATCTGCCCTACACTCCGTCGTCTTTATCTGCCCTGCACTCCGTCGTCTTTATCTGCCCTGCACTCCGTCGTCTTTATCTGCCCTGCACTCCGTCGTCTTTATCTGCCCTGCACTCCGTCGTCTTTATCTGCCCTGCACTCCGTCGTCTTTATCTGCCCTGCACTCCGTCGTCTTTATCTGCCCTGCACTCCGTCGTCTTTATCTGCCCTGCACTCCGTCGTCTTTATCTGCCCTGCACTCCGTCGTCTTTATCTGCCCTGCACTCCGTCGTCTTTATCTGCCCTGCACTCCGTCGTCTTTATCTGCCCTGCACTCCGTCGTCTTTATCTGCCCTGCACTCCGTCGTCTTTATCTGCCCTGCACTCCGTCGTCTTTATCTGCCCTGCACTCCGTCGTCTTTATCTGCCCTGCACTCCGTCGTCTTTATCTGCCCTGCACTCCGTCGTCTTTATCTGCCCTGCACTCCGTCGTCTTTATCTGCCCTGCACTCCGTCGTCTTTATCTGCCCTGCACTCCGTCGTCTTTATCTGCCCTGCACTCCGTCGTCTTTATCTGCCCTGCACTCCGTCGTCTTTATCTGCCCTGCACTCCGTCGTCTTTATCTGCCCTACACTCCGTCGTCTTTATCTGCCCTACACTCCGTCGTCTTTATCTGCCCTACACTCCGTCGTCTTTATCTGCCCTGCACTCCGTCGTTCTTTATCTGCCCTGCACTCCGTCGTTCTTTATGTGCCCTGCACTCCGTCGTTCTTTATCTGCCCTGCACTCCGTCGTTCTTTATGTGCCCTGCACTCCGTCGTTCTTTATCTGCCCTGCACTCCGTCGTTCTTTATGTGCCCTGCACTCCGTCGTTCTTTATCTGCCCTGCACTCCGTCGTTCTTTATCTGCCCTGCACTCTGTCGTTCTTTATCTGCCCTGCACTCCGTCGTTCTTTATCTGCCCTGCACTCCGTCGTTCTTTATCTGCCCTGCACTTCGTCGTTCTTTATCTGCCCTGCACTCCGTCGTTCTTTATCTGCCCTACACTCCGTCGTTCTTTATCTGCCCTGCACTCCGTCGTTCTTTATGTGCCCTGCACTTTGTCGTTCTTTATCTGCCCTGCACTCCGTCGTTCTTTATCTGCCCTGCACTCCGTCGTTCTTTATCTGCCCTGCACTCCGTCGTTCTTTATCTGCCCTGCACTTCGTCGTTCTTTATATGCCCTGCACTTTGTCGTTCTTTATCTGCCCTGCACTCCGTCGTGCTTTATCTGCCCTGCACTCCGTCGCTCTTTATCTGCCCTGCACTCCGTCGTTCTTTATCTGCCCTGCACTCCGTCGTTCTTTATCTGCCCTGCACTTCGTCGTTCTTTATCTGCCCTGCACTTCGTCGTTCTTTATCTGCCCTGCACTCCGTCGTTCTTTATCTGCCCTGCACTCCGTCGTTCTTTATCTGCCCTGCACTCCGTCGTTCTCAATCTGCCCTGCACTCCGTCGTTCTCTATCTGCCCTGCACTCCGTCGTTCTTTATTTGCCCTGCACTCCGTCGTTCTTTATCTGCCCTGCACTCCGTCGTTCTTTATCTGCCCTGCACTCCGTCGTTATTTATCTGCCCTGCACTCCGTCGTTATTTATCTGCCCTGCACTCCGTCGTTATTTATCTGCCCTGCACTCCGTCGTTCTTTATCTGCCCTGCACTCCGTCGTTATTTATCTGCCCTGCACTCCGTCGTGCTTTACGTTTTTTTTCCTTCACGTTTTAGTCCGTTTTACGACTGAAATCGCCAGCGTACAAGACGCGGATAGACACATTAACAGCGCTTCCTTACCCGATGCATCGCATATATGAAAAGGAGGCGCCATCGTCTGTTTGTGTTGCGACTTTAAATAAAATTCAACAACAACAACAACAAAAACAGTTACTATGTAAGGTGCTTTGCATGTACCGCAGCACATGTTATTGTCTGAGGATTGGCGGATGGCCATGAAACTTCGAGTTACAGCTCAATTCAGCCTGTTTCCACCGCTAACTTGGCTCTGCCCTCGTTGGACTTTTTCCCTGGGCAGAGCAACATAGCTTGAACACGTCCTTTCAGATACTCCAAGGTGTCGATGCTGGAAGCTCGAGGGACTTATGCTAGCTGTGAGGACTACTGCGACTAGAAAACTAAGGGTATGAGGCAGTCATGATGTACACGACTAGCAAACCAAGGACGTGAGTCAGACAATAAAGACTTACGCGACTAGCTCCAGTGTGATTTCACAGATGCTCAGGTCACCTACGGTGCGTGCGGCATGCTGCAGCGAGAGTAGAGTGGGCACGAGGGCGTTCTCCGTGAAGTTGGCCGTGAACGTGTTGCGTAGGCCATCCAGAAGGAGACCGCCTGCGGACCGGCACCGTCAGTGGCCACGCACACACGTACATGTACATACACATACATGCCGATACACACATACACACACGCGTACACACACACACACACGCGTACACACACACACACACATGTACACACACACACACACACACACACACACGCATGCACGCACGCACACACACATGCACGCACGCACATACTTGCACACACACGCACGCACACACACACACACACATGCACGCACGCACATACACGCATACACACGCACATGCACACACAGCATATCACATGAAACTCGCCACCAATGCAGACTTATAACATACCATTGGCACACGTACATCGAGCCAAGACCACAGGTTGCCTGAGCTACACACACCCAAGTCGCAACTGGTCCAGCCGGCCTGGCCACGGACGGACCTTTTCTCCAAAAATTGTCGAAACAAATTTGCACAAAACGGGGCTTTTCGTCGATAGCGTTCATTTGTGCTCAGGTATCCCATTCGGCCGGACCGCGTGAAATCCCAGTGCTACCTTCTTGATTACCAGTTCCATAATAATTATATCCGCATAACAAAAAGCGACTGATTCGCATTATACTCAGTTTTGTTTTTTGTTTTTTTACCAGATAACCACAAACCATCATGGTGCAAACGCCTGCAAAACGCACAGAGATGCCCATAGCGATGGCAGCCGAAGCAGTGGAGGCGGGGCAAGAGCAGCTAAACCGACAGGGGTCTCGGTTTCAGCACTGCCCATGCGCGCCAAACAGAAAAATACGAAAATGGAAAAAATGAATTAGAGTGAACTTTCCGCATCGGCGATAGTGCTCACTAGCTTATGACAGCATGCGTAGGAAAGCCACCGCTCCCATAGCATCAAGGGCGCCCAGCAGGTGGATATCAGCTGGCCCGGGAGGCAATCACTCACAAAAAACACGCCAAAAATGTCACGGTTCGTTTGAGACTTGGCTGAAGGCCGAGTTTTGCGCATCCGTAGGAATGCCATCACCTTATATGGGTCAGGGTAGGAATGCCATCACCTTATATGGGTCAGGGCAGGAATGCCATCACCTTATATGGGTCAGGGTAGGAATGCCATCACCTTCTATGGGTCAGGGTAGGAATGCCATCACCTTCTATTGGTCAGGGCAGGCGCACATGCATAAAAACATGCAAGAAGAGAATTTTTTTAAATGTAAATAGATTCCGTCTTGGAGTTTAAACATAGGAATCTATATACACACTGGCTCTGCAAAATATATACTCTTAACCGTGGCAAATGTACTTTTGCTTACCAAATAATGCAACACCTGCAAATGCAACATCAAAAGAAAGAGGCATGCATGAACAGTGCTGTCGGGCGCTGAGGAACGGAGCGCCGAAGAACGGCCAGGCTAGAATTTCACCCAGTACAGCATACCAATGTATACACGGCGCCTCAGCTGTGCATGGATTGCAATACATGACAATAAGAACGGTGTGGGCTAGATGGCTGAGTCAGGCTGACCCCCCCCCCCCCCTCCCAGTTCTTCGACGACCGACAGTGAACCACGGGCTGAATGCTGACACTGGCGGAGTTGAAGGCATGCAGTAGCTGTGCGTTTCGGGGTTTGAACCCAGGAATCTCTATGCACATTAGCTCTAAAAAATAAATACTCTTATCCGTGAAAAATATACTTTTACTAAAAATAATGCAATTCCTACAGATGCACATCAATCAAGAAAGAGGCATATCAACAGTATGAGTATCGATTCCGTATAACTTTTTTTCTTGGCACTTCATATACGAGGCTCAGTTTCACTGTACCTTGAATCACGTGCTGAAGGCTGACGCTGGTGGAGTTGAAGGCGTGCGACACCACACACGTATACGTCTGACTGTCCGCCACCAGGCCACCGCTGATAGTGAGGTTGGCCACGAGTAGCGTGTCGTTGGGTCTCGAGACGGACACCGAGGCGAACGGGAGCATGTCCGCGTTGTTGCCGTTGCCGTCCAGCCACATGATCTCGCCGAGCGCGCTGCTGATGCGCGGCGTGCGGCCCACGCACGTGAACACCTCGGGCTCCGTCGAGCCGGGAAGGCGCGGCTGCGCTTGCGGCGTGGGTGCCTCGATGATGACAGGTGGCGGCGGTACTGCAGACAGATAGAGTGCACCAGCAAGTATTGTATTGTATTTATTTAAAAGGATTCTCCAAAAGCAAATGGATGCTTATCACGGAAGTCTCCCACATAAATATCGCAAGAAAAATGGGGAAATGGGGAGAGGAGAGTGGAAGATGAAGCATGGGAAGAAGGGAAACAAGTACCTAAATATCGAGGTATAAAAGCAGGAAAAAAATCGACGAGGGAAGAAATCACCTCTGCAGATAATAGCGGGACATTTAGATGAAAAAAACCCCAGCAAGGATTAATTTCAAGGAAAAAATATTTCTCAAACGGAAAAGTTCGTGGACATTGTACATCAGATTTTATTAACAGATCTCGTGTTTCGGTGCAATGTTTGCAGGGGCGTCGGCGGGTATTTTAGTGTGGCACGGTCAGACCTCTGAAGTACAATTTACTCGTCAGGGTTGGATGGCTAATACGAAAAGTTTGGAATTTTAGAGCCCAAATCAGTGCATTATATTGGTTCATGGGGTACCGGGGCAAAAAGTGGTACGGTCAATACCCTAGTGACTGTACCGTGTCCGACGCCCCTGGGCTGTGCGAGGTAATTCTCCCGCAGATTGTTTGGAGAAGAAATGTGTGGCTTGTTCGCCCAAAGACTACTCTTCTCTTTTACTTTCTTTTCTTTCCTTTCTGTTTTATTTTTTTTTACAAATAATCACATACGATGTGGTGGCACAAAGCAGCAAGGCAGTTTTAGTGCACATGGAATGGCAGGAGTCGGGGAGAGGCAGGGCCAGGGACCTAGATTCGTAGTAACGAAAAATGGAAGAAAGGTAGGTTCGGTCTCTACACACTCCACGTGAAAGGGCACTTGGCGACGCAAGGTCTGGGCTGAAATAGAAATGTTGACGCCTTTTTCTCAACATGAAGCGGCCAAAAGGTGTTTGGGAAATCGGACGAGGCAGTCCAAACCCTGCAGATGGTGAGACAATTGCCCTGTCCGAACTCAGTCGCCCAAAGGCCATGGTAAACCAACAACAAAACACAGAGCAACGCTACGTGGATTTGCCAAATCCATGGTCACAGGAATCCAACCAAGAATGCCAAAGCAATAACGTCGTCGTCTTTTCAGTTTTGTCCTACTCCAGCATCAGACAAAGAGAATATGAATTTTCCCGGGAGGCATGGGGTATTTTCTAATTGTCCGTAAATTCCAACGCGGCCACTTACACATTAGTGTTAGTACATACGCTGATGATCGGCCAGGCCCGAAAATTTGGTGTACTGTAAACTTGAATTTGAATCGCCGTGGAGAGACAGTTTTTGGAGGTTGGAGTAGAGAAGTGAAGTTTCCTAGAGGCGTGAAAGTAAAGATTTATTTTGATTTATTTCCATCGAAACACACACCTCCATTACAGTTACCTGGGCAACGGTCCAAACGTGACCAGCTCGCGTGCGCCGTGTCGACAGAGGCGGTCGTCGTGTGAAGTGTCATGCCGTGCATCGTAGAACCATCGGAGCGTGCAAGTGTGAGCACGTGCCGCCGTGTGAAAGGCCAACAATGAGGAACTAGGACTTACAGACTGCTAGTGCATATTTTGCATGGGGCTTGTTGATCGAGTTAGTTGTACAATTGTCCAGGCTTGACATTTTGAATGGTGCTTGTTGTTCGAGTTGTACAATCATCTTTGCTTCGCTTTTCTCATT